TATGTTCCCAGGGCCAAAGAAAGAAGACTGTCGTGTTGTTCTTAGAATCGCGATAAAAATTTTAAAAGATACACAAAAGTACCCTCAGGCTCTCCCTGCCTTGACCTGAAGTTGCCCAAGTAATTGTTTAAAGGAGGGCTTCTATTTTCTTTGTCCAGAGCATTTTGCAGGGACAGAAACCTGGGATGGGGCTAGCCAAGAGTGGACCTATGCTCTCATTCATTAGACTCTTCCTGCATTGGCTCCCGAGGCCTATGCTCCCAGCCAATCCCCAGTAAAGCCCCAGTGACCCCCATAGTGAGGGTTTGATCAGAAAGCCCAACTGATAACCACCCCTCATTGGCCCATCTCCCACCCCCTAGCCTCCTTTTAAAGAAATACAACCCTCTTTGTCTGGCTTGTCAAGCTCCCTCTTCAGAAGCATTATGAAATGGGCTGCCTATGAGTCCCCCAATAAATTCCAGTGCCCCCTCCCCCAGACTCCTAAAGGGTGACTGGCAGCCACCAAGAATAGCTCTGTGACACAGGCTGAGTGGACAGAAAGCAGGCTCAAAGGTGTTGGGGTCGATTTCAACAGCATCCAGACCGCTTCAACACTTGTTGCTCCAACCTGAGATGCTAAGCCAATTGAGGACACAAGGTTCTCTGAAGAACTAACACGTGTTGAGAGACCATTCCCCACTCTATGCTGGGCTCCAGGCACTGTGCCAGGCTAGACATTCTTTACTTCCTTTATTTGGACAATCCTGAGAGGTGTGTATTATCCTCATTTTACAGATGAGAAAATGGAAGTGTGGAGTGGTTAAGATGCCTGTGTTACAAAGGTGACACCAGACTGGGCACAGTGGCTCACAGCTGAAATCCCAGCACTTTGGGAGGCTGAGTGGGAGAATCACTTGAGCCCAGGAGTTTGAGACCAGCCTGGGCAACACAGTAAGACCACATCTCTACAAAAAATAGAAAAATTAGTGAGGTGGGGTGGCATGCACCTCTAGTCCCAGCTACTTGGGAGGCTGAGGTAGGAGGATCTCTTGAGCTCAGGAGTTCAAGGCTGCAGTGAGCCATGATTGTGCCACTGTACTCCAGCCTGAGTAACAGAGTGAAGCCCTGTCTCAAAAAAATAGAACATAAGTATAAAAAGGTGACATTGCTGGTGAGAGGCAGGGCTGGAATTCCAACCTAAGTTCATCCGGTCCCAATGTCATCTTTGTGTGGCACTTCCCTGTCTAGGACATTTCTTCTTCCACTCCCCATGTCCCCAGATTTTCTGGCTGTTCCTTATATTGTATAGCTCCCCCTCTTCACACAGACACATATCCTGTATTCTTAAATTTCCTCCTCTCCCAACTCAGATAAATACATCCTTTTTAGCAAACTCAGCTAAAACTCAGCTCTACCATTAAGGTATTAGCAGTGCCCAGTCTCTGATACCAACATTTCCAGATTCACTCAGTACCGGTGTGGCACAGATTAGGGGCTGTGGGCTCCCTGAGTATGACATTTCAGAGCTCCACAGTGGACAGGGGTGGGTATGGTTTGAAAAACAGTATATAGATAATATTATCATTGCATTAGCTCCCTTGGGATCATCATAACATACTATAAAATGTTGAACAACATTTGAAGAAGAGCATGATATTGCTGTATTTACCCAAAGAGAAAATGGGTTTCAAAAGTTGGGAAACACTATTCTACACTGTTATGGGAATGTAAAAATTTGTTCAGGTGAGACACAGTAGCTCATACCTGTAATCCCACTTTGGGAAGCGGAGGCAGGAGAAATGTTTGAGCCCAGGAGTTCAAGACCAGCCTTGGCAACACGGCAAGACTTTATCTCTCCAAAAAAAAAAAAATTTAAAAGTAGCCTGGCATGGTGGCATGCACCTGTAGACCTCGCTACTCAGGAGGCTGAGGCAGGAGGATTGCTTGAGCCCAGGAGTTTGATGCTGCAGTAAGCAGTGCTTTTGCCACAGTCCCCAGCCTGAGTGACAGAGTAAGACCCTGACATGCATACATAAAATTTCCCCATACCCTGTTACTATTTTCTTCATATGTGTGTCATTTCTCCCCTAACCAGACGGCTAAAGTCTTGTGGGTGGAGGCCAGTGGTGAGTTCTCCCTTCTTTGTGTCTTACCCACGGCCTTCACCCAGGGGACACTCCTTAAACAGGTCACCCGATCTATTCTCAAACACAGTTTACTTCTTATTCCCAAGGAAACTTTTCTGCTGCTCAAGCAAATCAACTCAGCCTAAATAAAGGACCGAACCTACCATCTCAGGAGGGCTGTGCTCGAATTTAGCCTTTGAACTCTACTAAAGAATTCGTTTCTTAGTTAATTCACAGCAGTGACAAAATTGCCCTGGAACATTTAATCTTCATTTTTAAAAAAATAGTGTCAAGTCCTATAAAGCACATTAAAAAGAAAGGAGCATGGTTTAAGAGCCTAGTATGTGTTAGGTTCTAATCTCATATGATTTCAGAATCAATTCAAACAATTCAATTAAAACAACCAATAGGTTGTTCTTATCTACAGTATTCATCTATACTAAAGCAAGATCTCCTTTGGGGCAGTAAGTACCTTGATAGTTTAATTCTAGTTGCCGTCTAGACTTTAAATTTGAAGATGGCTGGGAGTAGTAGCTTATGCCTATTAATCCCAGCACTTTGGGAGGCTGAAGTGGGAGGGTAGCTTGAGGCCAAAAGTTTAAGACCAGCCTGGGGAACATAGCAGGACCCCATCTCTACAGGGAATAAATATACTAGCCAGGCATGGTGGCATGTACCTGTAATCCCAGCTACTCAAGAGGCTAAAGCATGAAGACCACTTGAGCTCAGGTGTTTGAGGCTGCAGTGAGTTATAATCATGCCACTGCACTCCAGCCTAGACAACAGAGCGAGACTCTTTCTCTAAAAAAAAAAAAAAAAAAAGTAAGTTGAGGAAAATGCTTTCAGCTGAAACTGACCACGCCTCTCAACCGAGGTTTTGCAGAAAGACTGTATGTACCATGCAAAAGTGTTTTCTTCCTTAGAAGATATCAAGTTGTTGAGGGATGGGGTGAGGTGGACAGGTTGAGAGGAAATACTAGATCCTTGGGGAAAGTCCAATGATTTAGGCTGCCACAATGGAACCTCCTAACTCTCACTCCACGGAAGACTGGTGAACACTTGAGTCCTGCACTCCAAGTCTCTCTTCTCCAGTTTTTTCCAGACTCCAATCATATCCACCACAAAAGAAACTGAGTTTGGGTTTTGAAGTTTGGATTCCGTTCCTCATCCAAGGGAAAATCAACCGGAGGTGCCACTTCGGTGCCCATCTCCTATCAAAGGAGAAACTGCTTCTGAAAGAGAAAGCATCGGGTAAGTTTATGCAAAATCACAAAAAAGAAGGTAAGGCTGGAAGAGAAAGGCAGTTAAGTCACTAATACAAAAACGAAGGTATATGGGGCCACAAAAGTGACTTGTCCAAGATGAACGGAGTTATATCAGTGTGGGCCCCAGCCAGGACTCCGGTTCCCTTACTGTCATTTCATCTTTTAAGTTTCTGGTCCCCACTCATGCCCACTGAGGCCGCTTTGCCCGAGGCGGAAGGTGCAGTACGTATTCTTGGGGAGGAATCTCAGGTAGTTTGGTTACAGTGAAGGCCCAGAGAGCTTCGTAAAAACAGCCAGCACCAGAACGGACCTGTCACCCGAAGCAGACACCCACAAAACGACAAGGACACAGAAGTGGAAGCTGAGCTGGGCCGAGTGGGCAGCCCACGACCCACCTCTCAGGGCCGACCCGGCCAGCGCCAGGTGCAGGGCTCGCGGCGGGCCAGCAGAGGGCGCGCCGCCCCCAGGGAGCCGAGCGGCGGCCACGGGGAGCCGGGCGGGCAAGGGGAGCCGCAGGCTAGCCGGACGCGCCCCTGCGGCTCGGCC